TGGAAGGTTGTTGGTAGGAGGGATGTGAAGTGGGGGATATGAGGAGATGGGTGAGGGAGAGGGAGACAGTGAAGTGGGATGAGGGAGGGAGAGAGGGGAGAGGGAGACAGGGAGGGAGTTAGAAGGAGATAGAGAAGAAAGAAAGAAAAAATGTATATACTACAGAAAAAATAAATAATGACCAGTGATCCCCTTCCCCATCCATGACCTATCCCAAGGATTCTCAGATTTTTTTTTTTTTTTTTTTTTTTTTTTTTTTTTTTTTTTGCTGCAACTCCTACAAATTAGATCCACTTTCCCAGCAACAAAGCATTTCTGATCATCGTTTGCCTGCCACTGTATGTATGTATATATGTATGTACGGACGCATGTACGTAAATACATACAAGTACTAGTCGTGTTAGGATGGGTAGGAAGAGCAGGGGAAAGATGAAGAAGGAAGAGGGTTGTAGGATCACAAAATTAGTTTACGAACCCTTTGGGGGCCGAGACCCCCACTTTTAGAACTTCTGTCCTAGCCTATTCCCTGCACACCTACCTCCTACCATCCAAGACGCCCTGATCGCCCCTTCCCCCAGGATATGATGGAGGGCCTGGAAGACATCGAAGTGGCCGTCCCCGAGCTCCTCATCCCGCTGGCCAACTACATGTCCAACATCGTCGGCGGTCTCTCCCTGGTGAGGCTTCTGCGGGCTAGACACTGATATTGATGACGTTCATTTAGCCAATGTACATATAGACAGTTTGACATACACAGATAAAATAACAATGGCTGAGATTGTAATAAGAGACACTGATATTGATGACGTTTATTAGGCAATTTACTTATAGACAGTTTGACACACAGATAAAATTAGAATGGATGAGATTGCAATAAAAGAGACACTGACATTGTTGACGTTTATTTGGCAGTATACATAAAATGCCGGTTTGTTAGAATTGTGTTAGGTCTGACCCAATGAACATATATTATACGGACATGCATTTACGCTGAAATCTATATGCATATCTATAAGTCTAGAAATGGATATCTACCGTATAGACCGATAGATAAATGTATATATATTTGATAGACTGACAGATAGATAAATGTGTATATATATCTGATAGCTAGACAGATGCATTTATTTCAGTGGATATGCATGTCAGTATATACGAATATTCTTTGGGTCGGGCGCGTACATTTTTAACAAAGACGCCGAAAGAAAGTTTGACGTACGCAATTAGAAAATGGAATGGCCGTCTCATGAGAACAAAAAGCTCTCTTAAGGAGGCACCGTGTCATGCGGGAAGAAATGTGTATTTACAGTAATTAATTCAAATTATTCCACACGTATGTGGGTTGGATACCAATTCAATAATAAAGACCAAAATGTATAGTGTAGGATGTATGACAAAGACTAGACTAAGAAATCGGACTATATCGCATAGATGATATATTTTGTGAATATATAGACGCATATGCATATACGTACACATTATTTCTCATTCACCATATAATAAATCGGGTCATCAGTTCTCATTCATCATTTTACTCATCGATTCCTCTGTGAACTTCAGAGCGTTGGCGAGGCTGGGTCCGAGTGTGAGAATGCGCCTCCAAATGACGTCAAGAAGTCAGACAAGTTGCCCTTCAACACTGAAGTCACAGGCAGTAAGTGAGGGATGAGAGGGAAAGAGGGAGGGAGAGAGTGAGGAATGAGGGAGAAGGAGTAGTACAGAAGGGGGGGAAGAGGGAGGGAGAGAAGGAAAGGGTGGCGTGAGGGAGGAGTAGTGCAGAAGGGATGGAGAGAAGGAGAGAGTGAGGAATGAGGGAGAAGGAGGGGAGAGAGGAGAGGTGGCGAGGAGTTAAGGGGGGATGATGAAAAGAGGGACAAGAAGGAATGAGGAAAAAGGGAAATGGAGGAATGAAGAAAAAGGAGAGGGAAGAATGAGGAAAAGATGGAAAGAGGAAGGAATGAGGGTAAGAAAGAGGGAGGTGTAATAAGGAAGGGAGATGAAGAGGGGGGTAAGGGAGATGAGAAGAGAGAAAATGATATGACAGGATAGGAAAGAGAGAAAAACATTGATATTCCACTTTAAATAATCTTACATATACCCCCCCCCCCAAAAAAAAAAAAAAAAAAAAAAAAATCTACGCCTCGTTTTTAATCTATGACCTGACTTGACCTCGTTTCCCACAGTCGATATGGTCATCCCGGAAGACCCTCTGACGATTCGGAAGTGCAACGTGCGTGACGTAACCAATGACCGAGCTCCGGAGATGGTGAGTGATGGTGGTGGTGATGATGCTTTGTTGGTAGTGATAGTAGTGATGATGGTGATGGTGATGAATGTCAGCGTAATGATGGTGAGGCTTAATTACGATGCAAATTGCAATGGTAATGATAGAAATGATGATAATAATGATAATGATGATTGATAATAATGATAATGATGATGAATGATGATAATAATGAATGATAAGTAAAATAATAATAGTAAGGATAATGATAATAATAATAATAATAATAATAATGATAATAATAATAATAAATATATCAATACCCACAACAAAAATAACGATACTACTCAAACAAACAAAACAAAACACAAAAATCACGCCAAAACGACCGTGACCCCAACCCTCTCCTGCCTCCTCCTGCCCCCAGATCAAGAGCATCCTGCAGAGCATGGACACCGTCACCGAGAAGATTCTACGGAAGAGCGTCTTGGGGGAGGTGATCGAGATGGAGACCGAGATGGACGTGTTCTTGAAGATGGGGATGTAAGATTGAGTTTTTTTTATTTTTTTTATTGATTTTTTATTGATTTTTTAGGGTGTCTTCCTTTTTTTTCTTTGTTTTTGTTTGATTAGTTTTCTCATTCCTCCCTCTTCTTTCGTCTCTCTTCTTCTTTTCGTTTTTCTTCTTTTCCTTGTATTTTTTCTGCTCCTCCTTTCTTCTTCTTCCTCTCTACTCTCTTCTTCTTCTTCTTCTTCTTCTTCTTCTTCCTTCTTCTTCTTTTTCTTCTTCCTCCTCCTCCTCCTCATCCTAATCCTCCTCCCTCCTCCTCCTCTCCTTTTTTCTTTCTTCCTTCTTCTCACCTCCTCCTCTTCCTCCCTCTCATCTCCTACTTCTCCTCCTCCTCCTCCTACTCCTCCTTCTCCTTCTCTTTGTTTCACATCTTATCCTCCTCCTCCTCCTTCTTCTTCGCGTTTCTTATTCTTATTCTTATTGCTCTTTTCTTCTTTTTCTCCACCACCACCTCCTAATCTTCCTCATCCTACTTTTTTCCTTCTTCCCTTTCTTCTTCTTTTTATCGACCTCTTTATGCCTCTCTTCGTATCCTTATTGTTTTTATTACTTTTATGATCATTAATGTTATTTTTATCATTATTCATTATTATATTTTATCATTGTCATTATTTTCATTTTTGTGTTTAGTGTCATTATTAGTGTTTTATTTTCATCATCATTGTTGTTGTTGTTCTTATTGGTAGTAACAGTAATAATAAGCTAATTATATAATTGTGAGATTTTTAATTGTTAGCTATTATTAAACTTATTCAGATCTCACCATCGCCGATTTATCACCATTTCTCACCAACACCAGCATGATCACCATTATTTCCGACCCACACCGATCTTATCATCACCATTCCTTGCCCAGTATTTTTTAAAATCAACTATTATCATAATTTCTCACCATCACCAATATCATCACCATTTTTCTCCCTCACCAACATGATCACCACCATTTTCCCTAACCGACATCATCACCACCATTTCTCCCTATCACCAACATGATCACCACCATTTCTCCCCTAACCGACATCATCACTACCATTTCTCCATCACCAACATGCTCACCACCATTTCTCTCCTCACCGACATCATCACCACCATTTCTCCCCTCACCAACATGCTCACCACCATTGCTCATCATTACCACCATTTATCCCCATCACCAACATTATCACCCACATTTCTCCCACCACCACCCACCCCCCCACCGATATTATCCTCCCCCTCCCTCTCCCCCAGCGTGCGCACCCCCTGAAGGCGATCCCCATCGGGAAGCAAGGGGGAGGTTTCTTCTTCCGGACATGTTCTGCCCTCAAGTCAACTGCAGCGACCCCATCAGCTACAACGCCCGCCAGTGGCCTTTTACGACTTTTGTGGGTATCGCGGTTTGTCTTCGGTGTGGGTGTGGGGGTGTGTGTGTGGGGGGGGGTGTTGAGTGTGTGTGTGTGTGTGTGTGTGTGTGTGTGTGTGTGTGTGTGTGTGTGTGTGTGTGTGTGTGTGTGTGTGTGTGTGTGTGTGTGTGTGTGTGTGTGTGTGTGTGTGCGTGTGTGTGTGTGTGTGTGAATATATATAACCTCATATATGTATGTATATGTCTGCATGTAAGTATATATGTATGTATACAGACAATATATCAAAACCAATGCACAGCCCCCCCACTCTCACCCCTCCCGCTCCCCCTCCACGACAAACAGGCCTACCCCCAAGCGCGAGGAACCTCGCCCCGGGCACCAAGATCCTCGACGTGAAACTCTACCAGCGCGACCTGTCCAACATCACGGTCGCCGGGTACACTAAGAGGCAGATCGAAGTGAAGATACCCAGGATTGCCGGCAAGTTTGGCAACGACACCTGCCAGGTACGGAAAGGGGGGGAAGGGGGGAGGGAGGGAGAGAGGGAGAGGAGGGGGGAGGAAGGGAGAGGGAAGGAGGGTGGGTGGGAGGGAGAAGGGGGGAAGGTGGAGAGGAGAGAGGGAGGGAGAGAATGATGGGAAGGGGGGAGGGAGAAACGGGAAGGGGAAGGTAAGGAGACGGAAAAAGATGTAGAGAGAGAGAGAGAGAGAGAAGAGCGAGACGGTCCCTCTTAGATTTCCTTTTTACCTTTTTGAAAAGCTATTAACTTGCCTTATTTACGTTATAACGTCAAACAGAAATGTTATGGAACTCATACCGGTATCAGTCATTTTTTTTTTACTAGCTTATATATTAGAACAGTATGACAGAATTCCTGGATATCAGTTGACAATTCTGGTTTTTGGTTTTCATGTCATCCCGAAATGTTCAATGGCACCATGTAACTACCAATTTGAAATATTACTCGGGATACCTTGCGTTGACTGATAGACTCCTGATAGACTCCTGAGTAATCTACTTTTGACTCTGTGGACGACAAACCGCAGCTTCGTGTTGAAAAGGGAAAAGCATTTTGTCTGACGTGTGTGAAAGGGATTAATGGTACCACTGGTTATCTGATAAGATGACGCCGAGCCGTTTGCGTCGGACGGCGAAAAAACCGAAAGTAAATCAAGGCCATTGATATTATGCCTTTTTTTTCTCTGTTTGCAGAGTTCGAGCTCATCAACGCCACCTATGAGTCACGACAGCAACTAATTCCTATCATGTATTCGAACTTCAACATCACCAAAGTAAGCAACAGATATTGCTGTTTTATTCCAAACAGTAATGATAATAAACCTATGCCGAAAATAAAACAAAAAAATCTATCGAAAATAGCATGTATGTTTCCTTGATAAGTATGAGGTCCTTATGATAATACCGTATTGCTAAATTAATGCTAAATATTATACACCTAAATGCTGCCAAGATTTTCAGAGCAAAGACATATTTGTAAAGAACCTCCTTGAGATAATAGAAAACTTATACATTTATCTGACAAATCCCTTATATTTAACGTTTTAACTTACCATTTTCCGTCTCAGAACGACTCTTCAGTCAACATTGAGGTCGTACTCCCCAACGCGAATCCCCGGATGTTCATCATGGTCTACCAGCCACGACTTCCTACACTGACCAACTACAGTCGTTTCACTTTCATTAAGGACCTTCCTGTAGTCAACGGTAATAGGAGAGACTTTGAAATAATATCACAAAAGCTTGGAGCAATTATAGTATAAAACTGCATTGCTTTATCTCTACCACGTTATGAGTATTCGAATAGTGATTGAATATTTATATCTATTGCTTTACATCTAATACGTTAAGAGTGTTTGAATATTGATTGAAGGTATATATATGTTTTAAGAGGCATGATAAATCAAACAGCAAATTTCATAAGGCATTATTGTCAACAAAACAAAAGGAGAACCAACACGAGGACTAACCGAATCCTCTCATCTGCAGAAAGTAAGATCACCACCGCCACCCTAGACTAACCCTCTGATCCTTGACCCTCGTCCTCAGGCACCTACGACTGGTTCTTCACCTCGGCCGACCTCAACGGAACCGGCCGCTACTTCGTGGGCATCGGGGAGTTCAAGCCTGGCTTCGACCTGAGCAAGATGAACGACCCGGTGAAGAATAACGTGGGCGTGAAGGACCTGGTCAACGTGTCCATGAACTACTACCTCCGGGTCTTCACTTCGGGTTGTTATTTCTTCGAGGACCAGCAAGAGGAATGGAAAGGACAAGGGATGTCGGTAGGTCCTGGTGGTTCTGGCGGCGAGAGGCCTGTCTTGCTACTTGGATTTTTAGGGATGTTTTTGGTTGTATTTTTAGGAGACACCTTAGAATGTTTTTTTCATTATTATTTTTTTTGATGGTATGTATGTGTGACATAGATTTTATTCAGGATTCTTAACGCATGTAATTATTACTCACACATTATCCGAGCACCATCTTTAGTCCTTCCAAGTAAAACACATAATCAATAGCCACACCTAACTACTGACTCTAACCCCCCCCCCATCTGATATAAACATGACCTAACTGCTGACTTTTTTTCCCTCTTTCTCATGATGTAACTACTGAATATTTTCCCCACTCTCTTAGAATGTAACTACTGCCTCTTTTCCCCTCGTTCTCATAACCTAACCACTGACTCTTTCCTCCCTCCTTTCTCCTTCTAAAAAAATAAGGTGACGTTATCCAACCACAAAATGACCATCTGCAACTCGACCCATCTTACGAGCTTCGGTTCCGGGATGTTCGTGATGCCCAACACCATTGACTTCAACTACGTCTTCGTCAACATGGGCTTCACGGACAACCTGACGATCTATCTCACGCTCATCGTCAGCCTCCTCATCTTTGTGTTGTTGATGATCTATGCGAGGTATAAGGACAAGCAGGATGTGACGAAGGTATGTTGTTGTTGTTTTTGATGGTGGAATGCTGGTTTGGATGGGGGAGGTTCTGTATTATGTGGTTTGGTTGAGTTTCAGAATGTTTTGCGCTTTTGAAATTTGATGTGGGTCTGTTTGCTGGACAGACCTGTACGGACGGATACAAATACAAATATATTTCCTCCCTTATTACACAAATACGCTTACTACCCATCTCTCGAATTGGCGCCCACACTCAGATACAACCACCACCTTCGCACCCATTAACACACACACACACACACACACACACACACACACACACACACACACACACACACACACACACACACACACACACACACACACACACACACACACACACACACACACACACACACACACACACACACACACACACACACACATACACATACATATCCCATACGTACACCCTCTTAGGCATTAACTCACACAGATACCCCTACTCAATCCCTTTCCTCCTCTCTCTCTCTCCCTCCCTCTCCCCCTCCTCCCTCCGTTCCCCTCCCACTCCCTCTCCCATCCCCCTCTCCCTCTCCCTCCCAGGCCCATTCCCTCTCTCCCTTCCCTCTCTCTCTCCCTCTCCCCTCCGTTCCTCTCTCCATCCCTTCCCCTCTCCCTTTCTCTCATTCCTTTTTCCCCTCTCCAACTCCTCTCTCATTCCCTCTCTCTCATTCCTCTCTCCTCTACCCCAGCTCGGCGCAACCCCCTTGCCAGACAACGACCTGGAGGACAAATACCTTTACGAGATGCTGGTTTTCACGGGCAACAAGAAGAGCGCCCAGACGGATTCGGTGGTCCAGTTCATCGTCTCGGGAGAGGAGGATGAGACGGATGTCAGGACCCTGGGAGATGCCAAGAGGAAGATCCTGAGGAAGGACGGCGTCGACGTGTTCGTGATGGCGGTTCCGAGGTTGGGACTTTTTTTTTTCTTTGGGGGGGGGGGTGTTTTTGTTTGTTCCGTATTGTAGGTTTGTTTGTGTTTTTTCAGCTTTTGTTTTTTTCTTTTCTTTCGTTCTATTTGTTTTTCTTTTCTTTTTTTATTATTCTTTCGTCTTTTAGTGTTTCGTTTTTTTAAATTTGTAGCTGTTATTGTTTTTTTTGTGTTATTGTCTTATTTGTAGTTCTCGTTGTTGCTATTTTCTCTGTAGGATTTGTTTGTGTTTTTTTTTCATTATTATTATTGTTTTTGTTTTATTTTTGTTGTTTGTTTGTTTGTTGAAATTGACCTGGGTGTCTTTTTCACTAGTTGTTCCTACTTTTTTATAGTTGTTGGTTAGTGTCCGTTTTTTGTAGTATTTATTTTCTTTTTGTAGTTATTGTTGATGTTTCTGTATTTGCAGTTTGGATTTTCCAAGAATCCGATTACTTTTGTTATGTATTAAAACGACGAAATCCATTTTTCGTTTATGTGAAGAACGCATTAACTTATATCACTGAACACCTTCAAACACTATATGGTGGTCTTCTTTCTCCTCCTCTTCCTCGTCCTTCTCTTCCCCCTTCCCCCTCCTCTTCCTCCTCCATTGCCTTCTCTCCACTCTCCACTCCCTTCCTCCTTCTCCTCCTCCTCCTCCTCCTCCTCCTCCTCCTCCTCTTCTTCCTCTTCTTCTCTCCTTCTCTTCTCTTCTTCTCTTTCTTCCTCTTCCTCCTCCTCCTCATCCACCTCCACCACCACCTCTATCTCCTCCTCTCCTCCTCTCCTAACCCTTCTCCCTTTCACCCTTCCCTTCACCCCTCTCTCACCTCCGTCCTCCCTTCCCTCCTCACCTCTCCATCACCCTCCCTCCCCTCCCTCGTCCCTCCCTTCTCTCCATTCACCCCTCCCTCTCCTCCTCCTCCCCTCTCCCTCACCCTCACCCTCACCCTCTCCTCCCCTCCTCTCTTCCCTCCTCTCACCTCCTCCTCCTTATCCCTCAGGCCCCTCGGAAACCTGGAATACATGAGGATCTGGCACGACAACAGCGGACGGGGACCCAACGCCTCCTGGTACATGAGTTACATCGTGTTCAGGGACGTCCAGACGGGCATTACGAGTTCGTGGCCAGAGGAAGAGTTCGCGGTGGAGCACGACGATGGCCAGGTGAGGAGGGGGAGGGGAGAGTGGTGGGGAAGTGGTGGCGGTAGGTATTGGTGGTAATGATAATAGCGATTGTGATAGTTATGATGATGATAATATTTACGATGGTAATGGGTACAGTGATAATAATAATAAAGATAAAAATGATGATGGTAGTAATGATAATGATGGGATTGATAATGATAATCATAACGATAATGATGATATTAGTAAGAATTATGATAATGATGATAACAATAGTGATAGTAATGGTAATAATAATAGTAGTAATGCCAACAATATCATTAATGATATTGTTAACGATAACCCCAACAATCCTTTTTAACAATACAATCAGATAACAACCATTATCATCGCAAGAGATAAATGACCCTTTGTTCCAGATCGACCGCCTCATCGCCGTTGCAGGGAAAGAACAAATCACAGAGTTCAAGCATTTGTTCAACACGACGAAGAACAAGAACATTGCCGACGGTCACCTGTGGTTCTCCGTGTTCCTCAGACCTCCAAGATCACGGTTCACGAGGTTGGTTGAAGAACATTTTGTAGGAGTTTTTTTTTTAAACTTTGAGTTGAGTGAACGTTTGGTGTGTTGTTCATTTGTTGGTTTATGAGTTTGTTATTTGCACTTTTCCAAATCTGGATCTGTGGTTAGATAGGAATTTGGGAAATAGAATTTTGAGTATGCCGCCAAGGATGGCATGTGCGTACATGCCATGCCCACTGTGTGATTACTTTATTTATTCTTCTTTCATCATCTGATAATAGATTTGGGAATGTGAAATCAAGGTCTTTTATTCATAAATATCTTTTGAGGCTTTGCCTGTTATTGTTGAAATGATGGCATGTTAATAGAATGTGTGCAATTGTAAAGTAATTGGCACAGAAAAGACATTGAAGAGTTTTTATGGATGGAGTGAGGTGGATTATTCTGTTGGCATTTACTCTGAGCCGAGCCAACACCATCTAATCTCTTCTGTTTTTCCTGCAAGCTTTTGTTTTGTTTTTGTTGTTTGTTTGCAGGTTAGTCGACTCACTTAGCCAGATGGATTTTTGCTTATATAAAGGAAATGAAATACCTGATATCTGTACGGACTATGCTATGGTCTAGATCACCAGCTGACCCGGTTAATTTGTCAGCCTACTCATTGCCATGGATACCATTGGGCCTGGTACCCATATTAGCTTGATTTATTTGTTTGCACTTACTAATGTGGCTTACTAATGATATTACCCAGCTGTTTATTTTTTAGTGGTTTCTATTAATGTACTTATTGAATCAAAAACAATACTATTCTATCGTGGGTTGATAGTGCAAAATATATAGCTGTATTAATAGCAAAAAAGGTCAGCATTAAAGATCGATGTATGATTCGACATTCTGAAATTCAGGTCACATTCAGTCGACCATACACCCGCCCCAACACATTCATCTGTCTTGGTGCCGTCGGTATATATATGAAAAAGGATTGATAATGATCTCTCTGAACTTCTAACTTCCCATTCCAAAACCATTAGTACTTATACCCCGAAGGAGACCCCCAGGCCACGTCCATGGCGCGAAAAGAAGAAAAATTGAAAGGAGTTCCCCAAAGACCAACCCGTTAGGTAAACAGTCTTAAGGAACCAAACGACCATGAGGAAGGAGAAGAAACAAGAGAACTATGTGGCGACCACCACCTCTTCAGCGGTTATGACGACACTTTGAAGACGTCGCCGAAGAAAAAGACTAATAGAAAATGTAATATAAGGAGAAGAATGCGAAGAAAAACCGATAATACACAGGTGTAGCGAAAACAGTGCATTTCGGACTGTACGTATTTACAGTATTTGATTTTGAAAATATATAAATCTTTATTTTCAGCTTGGTGACTTCAACGCCATTCAAGTAATGAGTTTTGATCGAAGATGCGTCTGATGGTTATAAAATTAACCAAATCCATATTAACTAATTCTCTAGCGGTCGTTGGACATAGCCACGGCATGAAGATGGGGACTTAGCCTCTGGCGGCATATGAAGGCGCACTTGAGCCGAGAGGGCGAGGCGCAAATGGCGGATGAAGCACTATCCTCGCGCAGATGCGCAGAGGGCAGCATTACAGGCTCCCCCACATCAGTACTCTTTCATGAACAGGTTACCGGCGGAGGCCAGGACCAATAAGACCACGGCAACTACCCCATTGTCCAAGAAAGGGCCTATATATTTAGGCGCACGGCTGGTCAGGCATCAACCAGGGCGCTGGACTCCAGGGGAAGCCACCGCGGTGGCGCCCGAGGGTAGTGTCAATCCTGGCGGAATCGGCCATAGAGAATCTTGAATATGTTTTATTCTCTTAACTAAAAAAAGATAATTGGTCATTAAGTGAACATCCGTTGACCAGAAATTCGAACAACTAAACCCACCAGAGTGAGCAACAAATGAGGGAAAAAATAAACCACCATTTAACACCTTCTCTCTTTTAACCAAATTAAATAACAGAATGAACAAGAGATGAATCTTTGCCC